GTGTTTGAGTTTGTGTTTAGAGGCAGGATCTTATTTAATGTGCCTGTGTGCATTTGGAGGCAAAGTTTTATGTAAGTGTGTGTGTGTGTGTGTGTGTGTGTGTGTGTGTGTGTGTGTGTGTGTGTGTGTTCCAGGGCAGGGTCTCATGTAGCCCAGGCTGGCCCGGAATGTGCATATAGCTGAGGAATCACTCCTCCTGTCCACATGGCCTGCTGGTGCTGCAGTGTTTAAGCAGGTACCCAGGGATGCTTGGTGTTAGTGGTGTTTGTGCAAAGACAGACTGGAGTGTTAAGAACATAGTACAGTCATGCTCTAGAAGAGGGAATGGTGACCTGGAGCAGTAGGGCTCACTTGTGCTGCTGTGCAGAAAGGCTGGGAATCCCAGGCTGGCCTAGGCTACAGGGTGAGACTGCTTGAGGAAAAATGGAGGGCTTGGTTTGCAGGCAGACCTCAGTGTGGCGTGCTTGGGCCACAGGAGAGGGGAGGGGATACCTGGGAAAGGTTGGAGCTGGTATAGACAGGTGCCCTGGAGAGCACCATGGTCCTGAGCACAGATGTGGAGTGGGCACAAGGGAGATTGGGGTAGCCAAGGTCCCCAGCTTCTGCCCTGTTGAGGATTGGGCCCTGGGCACAATCCGGCCTATCTCACTGGGCATTAGGACAGAAATGCTGGTGGTGTAGGGAATGGCTGTTGACTGGGCCAAGGGGATGAGGGGCGTCTGGCCACCATCAGCCAGCAGGGTGCATGTGTCACCGTGGACTGTGGTAGAGGCACAGGCTGAGGGACACCCCATTCCTCCCAGTACTGTAGGGCGGGCTAAGCCTCAGCTAGCCTCTGGGGTGCAGGATGCGGGGTGCCCCCCCCCCGCTCTGGCTGCGGGGCCCTTCCCTGATTCCCTGATGGACTCCCCCCCATAAGTGTTCCTAGGACTGGGAAGATCTGGGCATGCCCACATGTGGCCATTCTCCCTTGGGCCTGCCATCACTGTACCCCAACCCCAGCCACCTCAGTGAGAGGTGGGTTGTTTTATTTATCTGGCAATATTGGGGCTAAAACCCAGGACCTGCTCCCCACAGCCATGCCCTCAGGCCTCTGTGGCTCTGTGGAGAATGCTTCGCTCTGGCTCTGAGGGCCTGGCTACTTTTTGTTGAATTTCTTTGCAAGGCTGGGGTTGGAAGGCAGCGCCTCGTGCACACTGGCAGCACTGCAGGAGCAGGCCTGTGACGAACGCACCGGGCCTCCCTATCCCTGCGGGGACACCTGGGCTCAGGAGGGATCTGGCACAGCAGGGCAGGGCAAGACGGCAACCCGAGTGCCAAGCATCACCCTCACCCTTGTTGCTGCCACCCTGCCATCCCTACGGCTGGTGACCTGACCTTCCGTGTATTCAGTCCCACAGAGCACTGAGAAGCTTCAGGAAAGCCCATGCATCTTCGCGCTCACGCCACGGCAGGTGGAACTGATCCGAAACTCCAGGTGTGAGGCCAGCCAGTGCCACTGTCCCAGTGCCTGCTTCTAGTGCATCCCTGTGCCGGGGCCCTGGAGACACTGGGCTGGAAAGTTCTCTGTGGGGCATCCTGGGCCTGGTGGGGTGCTGAGCAGCATCCCTGGGTTCCACCTACTTCACACCAAGATGTCACCTGGTATCCCTTGGGCAGGCATCCACGTGAGACCTGGGCTGTGCAGGTGCTCTGAACACGCCTGCCATGCCAAGACCTCTGCTTGTTCCCCACCCCATTTGTAAGGACACAAGTTGGACTGGGGTGCGGCTGAGGCCCCACATGGCCCTCATTTCTGGGGTGGGCACAGGACCTGAGCAGCATGGACTGGGGTGGCTGCTCTCTCCCACTGCTGTCACTTACCTGGTGACTGTGGGGAGGGCCTGGGTGGCCGTGGCCTCGCTGACTGTCACTGTCCCACCCTAGGGAGCTGCAGCCCGGAGTGAAGGCCGTACAGGTGGTGCTGAGGTATGAGGGTCACACCCCAAACCACCTCAGCCAGCTGGCTTCCTGCCACCCACCCTGTCACCATTCTGCACACACCACTATGCAGTCCTGTCCCCATCACTATAGTCATTGCTGCATAGTGTTCCCGTGTCTCCCCATGGCATCCCTGCAGTGTCCTACACAGCATCCCCCACAGTGTTCCTGCATCCTCTCTTCCCAGGATCTGTTACTCTGACACCAGCAGCCCACAAGAAGACCAGTACCCACCCAACATCGCTGTGAAGGTCAACCACAGCTACTGCTCAGTGCCGGTGTGGAACTGGGTGACCCAGGATGGTGGGGGCATTGGGGCAGGGCAGGGAGGGAGCACCATGTTGACACAGCTCCATCCCTAGGGTTACTACCCTTCCAACAAGCCCGGAGTGGAGCCCAAGAGGCCGTGCAGACCCATCAACCTCACTCACCTCATGTACCTGTCCTCAGCCACCAACCGCATCACTGTCACCTGGGGCAACTATGGCAAGGTGAGCCCTGCCCTATACCCAGCACCGGATGCCCAGCTTCCCATGGCATCCTACATCCATCCCATCCACTCCATGCCCTCTACCCTGCCCCGGCCCAGCATCCCTCCACCCTGTCACACTGTCCACAGAGCTACTCAGTGGCGCTGTACCTGGTAAGGCAGCTGACGTCGTCAGAGCTGCTACAGAGGTTGAAGACAATTGGAGTGAAGCACCCCGAGCTCTGCAAGGCACTGGGTGAGCGAGTGGGGGGACACCCTGGCCTGAGGTTTTGATCTGGGGACCCTGGGTCCTGATTGGGGAATGGAGATATGGGGGTACACAGCCTCACTGGGCAACAGGCCTTGTGCTGACCACAAGTCAGTCCTGCTCAGAGGAGGGAGGTGATAGGTAAGGGTCGAGGCCATTTGAGGTTTGTTACTGGTGATGAGGATGTTTTAAAGTGACAGTGTGGTCACCAGAGCCAGTGCCATCCATACAAAAGTCCTATTTTCAAGGGTGCTCAGCTGCCATGGGCTGGCCTCAGCCCCTGGACTGTCCAGCAGCTACTTGCTTTGCAAGACAGGCCAGGCCATTTTTGGGGCTGCCCAGACCTCTAGTGCCTCCTGGCTGTGCAGGCTGCGCTGGGCTCTGGACTGGCTTCAGATCCTTGTGATCCAAGGGCTACTTTGGTGGCTGAGAGGAGGTGGCCAGGCTGGCCATGTCTGTCCAGCCCCAAGCAGCGAGGCTGCCAACTCCATGTTTGATGACTGGGATGCCTGGGGGTGTGGGACAGCAGAATCACAGGGCCCTGTATCATCTAGGGCAATGCCAGGCAAGTGTTCCCAGCTGTGGGTCCCAGGTGATAGGACCAGCCTGGCCTTACCTCGGCCTGCAGAGTCTAGCTGACCCTGCAGAGGTCCTGACAAAAGCTTGGGGACACGCTGTGGCAACTACCACAGTGGCCCTGGGGAAGGCCATGCCGCCTGCGTCTTCCCAGAGATGTTCTGCCAGTCACCAAAACCCCAGCAGGCTGTGGAAGCTTGCAGTGACCACTCTGGAGTCTCGGGGCTCATAGGTTATCCAGGCTGGCTGGAAGTGACCACCCAGCTGAGTTCCCAGAAGGTGGAGGCAAGGTCAGTTCAGGGTCAGTCTCAGCTACTTAGTGAAGTGGAAGCCAGCCTGGGCTACATTGAGGCCCTGTCTCAAAAAAAAAAAAAACAGTAACCATTGGCACAGGGCACCCATGTGTTGGGAGACTCTTCCTCTTACATGCCCTCTATCCCTCCCTCAGTCAAAGAGAAGCTCCGCCTGGACCCAGACAGCGAGATCGCCACCACTGGGGTGCGTGTGTCCCTCATCTGCCCGGTGAGTGTCCATCATCCCAGGCCTTACAGTGGCCATCCTGGCAGGGTGGGGCCCTGGGACACCGGGCAGTGTCCTCCTTGTCTCCCGTCACTTCTGGCAGTTGGTGAAGATGCGGCTCTCAGTGCCCTGCCGTGCAGAGACCTGCGCACACCTGCAGTGCTTCGACGCTGTGTTCTACCTGCAGATGAATGAGAAAAAGCCCACGTGGACATGCCCTGTGTGCGACAAGCCTGCTGCCTACGACCAACTCATCATTGACGGGTGAGCCCCAGTTGGGGTTGGGACATAGGGCAGCCACACACTGTGGGCTACTGGGCGGAGCAGAGTAAGGCTGTGGTAGACTGACACTACCCAAGCTTGCAGGCGTGGACAGCAGGAGCTGCAGGATTTGTCGGGGCTTTTGTGATGATGGGCCCTGTGTCTTTGCCTCAGGGTGATCGGATACACCACTGCACCCCTGGCTACAAGCTCACTGTCTTTGCATGTGGCCTTCATGTGGGGAGGGAGAGGACAGGGGTACGGTCATCCTGCTGTGTGCCACTCACAGAGGTAGGGGACGTAGGTTCTCTAGGGATGGCTCTCAGCCACAGACACTGGATCTGCTGTGTGGCACCTGCAGCTCCTGCCAGGCATCTGCCACAGTTCTGTGTTCCCAGAGCCAGTGAGGTCCTCGGAATCACCTGCCAGGGTCACAAGCACCTTCCAGCCACTCCTTGGGTTTGGCTGAGGGACTGTGTTTGTCCCCAGGGGAGTTCACTCTGCCCAGTCCCAGGAGACTGGCTTTCCCGCCCCGCTCCCCTAAGGACACGGAGGCCAGCACCCCAACTCCCCAGTCCGTGTCCAGTCAGTTCTGCCCTAGGCCGCTGAGAGCTCCAGCCTCAGGTGCAACTTGGGCATGTGGGTCAGGCTCAGTGGTTGCTCTGTTTCCAGCCTGGCAGCTATGGCCTGGCCCCTCCCCTACCTAGGCAGGCAGCAGCACCAGAAGGTTTCAGGCTGCTGGGCTGTGTGCATGCCTGGGCCCTGAGCAGGACCCTCTCCTGCCACCCATGTGTGGCCTTTGTGGCTTGAGCTGTGAGAAGCCAGTGTCCAGCCTTCATGAGCTCTAGGGCTCCACAAGATGGCTCTCAGGGTGTGTAGGATTCCTCCAGGGGGCAGGGTACTGTCACTGGGTGACACCATGCCCACATACAGCCTGAGTGCCCAGCCCTGTCCCCGCATCCCCAGGCTGCTATCAAAGATCCTGAGCGAGTGTGAAGACGCAGATGAGATCGAGTTCCTGGCCGATGGCTCGTGGCGCTCAATCCGCGCCGAGAAGGAGCCGAGCTGCAGCCCACAGGGCCCCATCCTGGTGCTGGGTGAGTCCCTGGCCACAACACTGGCCTCGGCTGCAGCAACCTGGCCCAGGTGCTGAGCCTGTCCCACCCCTGTCCCCACAGGCACCTCGGATGCCAACGGGCTCCTGCCAGCCCCCAGCACCAATGGCGGAGGTAGCGGTGTAGGCATGGCCCTGGGCAGCACGGGCAGTGGGGCGGGCACGGTAGGTGGCCTGGAGAACGGGAAGCCAGGTGCTGATGTGGTGGACCTGACGCTGGACAGCTCGTCATCCTCAGAGGATGAAGAGGATGAGGACGAGGATGAGGAGGATGAGGGCCCAAGGCCCAAGCGTCGCTGCCCGTTTCAAAAGGGCTTGGTGCCAGCCTGCTGACCGCGGCCATGTCCGTAACAGTGCTGCGGAGGGCAGCGGGCCGGGAGCGCTTTCCTTTCTTGGTCCCTTGTCTTGCCCACCCCTTCCCCCTGGCTCCCAGCACCTGTACCTCTGGACTCTCTTCTGGGGGAGATTAAAAACAAAACAAACAAACAAAAAAAAACAGTAAAATGACCAACAAAAAAAGAAAAAAAGGAAAACAAGTACAAAAACAAGAAAGCAAAACACAAGACAGAATCAAAACTTAAAAAAAAAAAAAAAAAAAAAGGACAGTTGTGGTGGCCCACGCAGATCTCTTAGGGACCAGGAAAAAAAAAATGTTTTTTTTTT